CCAATATGGCCTCCCCTCCAGTTGGCATATCTACATATTGAGTCAGAAATCCTTCCTGGACACACCTGAGAAAATCTGTTCCATCCAAACTATTTGCACTTAGGAGGTTCCAGTCGATATTAGGGAAGTTGAAGTCACCCATGACGACAACCCTATTATTTCTGCACCTTTCCAAAATCTGCCTCCCAATCTGTTCCTCAGTGTCTCTGTTGCTTCTGAAAGGTCTATACAAACTTCACAATGAAGTGACTTCTCCTCTCCTGTTTCTGACTTCCACCCATACTGACTCAGTAGACAAACTCTTCTCGATGACCTCCCTTTCTGCAGCTGTGATACCATCCCTGATTAGCAATGCCAATCCCCCACCTCTTTTACCTCCTTCTCTATTTCTTTTGAAATATCTAGACCTCAGAACATCCAAAAACTATTCCTGCCCCTGTGATGTCCAAGTTTCCGTAATGGCCACAACATCGTAGCTCTAAGTACTGATCCATGCTCTAAGTTCATCACCCTTATTTCTGACACTTCTGTTAAAATAGACATGGTTCAACCTGTCACACTGACTGCAACTTTGCCCTATTATCTGACTGTCCTTCCTCACAGACTCTCTGCATGTTGTATCTGCCTGTACACCAGATACCCCACCCTCTGATGCGTAGCTCCGGTTCCCATCCTGCTTCCAAACTAGTTTAAACCCTTTAGGAAACCTCCCACCCAGGATATCGATGCCCCTCCAGTTCAGGTGCAACCCATCCTTCTTGTACAGGTCCCACGTTGCCCAGAAGGTATCCCAATGATCCACATATCTGAAGCCCTCCCTCCTACACCAGCTCTGTAGCCACGTGTTCAGCTGCACTTGCTTCTATTCCTTGCCTCAATAGCCCGTGGCACCGATAGTAATCCTGAGGTTACTACTCTGCTTGTCCTGGCTTTTAGCTTCCATCCTAACTCCCTATATTCACTTTTCAGGTCCTCATCCCATTTCCTAGCTAAGTCATTGGTACCGATGTGTACCACGACTTCTGGCTGCTCTCCCTCCCCCTTAAGAATCCTAAAGACTCGATCCAAGACATCCCTGACCCTGGCACCCAGGAGGGAACATACCATCCGGGAGTCTCGTTCGCGACCACAGAATCTCCTGTCTTTTCCCCTAACTATTGAATCTCCTATCGCTATCGCTCTCCTATTCTTCCCCCATTCCCTTCTGAGCCACAGAGCCAGGCTCAGTGCTAGAGAACTGGCTGCTATGGCTTTCGCCTTGTAGGTCGTCCCCCCTCAACAGTATCCAAAGCAGTATACTTATTATTGAGGGGAACAGCCACAGGGGATCCCTGCACTGTCTGCCTATTCCCTTTCCCTCTCCTGACGGTCACCCAGCTACCTTTATCCTGTAACTTGGGTGTGACTACCTCCCTATAACTCCTATCTATCACCTCTTCAGCCTCCCGAATGATCTGGAATTCATCCAGCTCCAGCTCCAGTTCCCTAACGTGGTCTGTGAGGAGCTGAAGTTGGGTGCACTTCTCGCAGGTGAAGTCGGCAGGGACAGTAGTAATGACCCTTACCTCCCACATCCTACAAGAGGAGCATGCAACTGCCCTAGCTTCCATCCCCTTTTCTCTAGATTGCCAAAAGAGATAAAGAGAAAAATAAAGCTCACCTTACCGGCCCTTCACACAGAGTCTTTTATTTGGTTAGAGGAGGACGATGGTTGGGAGACACTACACATGTAGTGTTTCGGGTTTAGCCACTGCCTGTATATATTAGTTCATTTACCCAGCAGTCCCCGTGTCCACATTTGCTCCTGCTCAGTCTTCGCTCCCCCTATTCACAAGGCAAGGTTTTTTATACCGAAACCTTACCTTCCTGGCTGCCCCCTGGCTCGGACTCTCACGACTCCCGCCACTGAATTATTACTCCTTCCTCTTTACTATATATGATTAGACTGACTAAATCTAACTGCCATGACTACAAAACGCAGGACTAAGTTTTTTTTTTTTTCCTTATCCCATTCCTTTTATATTCATTGCTACAATTTCATTAATGTCTCTTACTAACGGGAAACTCATGATGGGCCATAATGGTGTCTTCTTTGTATATCTCACATTTACCTCTGATCTTTACTATAAGTTTTGTGTAGCCATCATCCTTCACTCCTGTATCCTTTAATAGGATTTTAATCTGTGATAAGATGATTGGACTGATAGAGTTTAAAGATAATTAGCTTCTTCTTCCCTTAACCTCCCATCTCTGTATGTCAATAACACATGCTTAATATTTTGAGTAGAGGAATTAGGTCTTGTTAAGGGAGTACAATAGTGTCAGGATTGTGAAAACTGTAAATCCACTGACTTCTCAAAACAATTGCCTTGTTGTGTTCCATGTGCAGTTTAATTTGAGCTTTTTGCATTGATAGCCTGCTCAACAATAATGGGCATATCTCTTGACCCTGCCTCTGTGTTGATAAACTGGTTTAACCCAGTTATGTTACAGGGAATCATCCTTCCATTTAGTGGTTTCAACATGTTGTCATCCCCAAACCTGAAGCAGATAGAACTCTCAAACGTCTTAACCTTAATTTGGCCCTTGTTATTTCAAGAATCTGGATAATATTTTAACCAATGCACTGCGCAGTGTACATACATCCACTGTCCAACACAGCACAACTGAATCTCCAGGTAGAATTTTTACAACCTTGTACCTATTTTTGTAATCAACCTGTTCAGCATGTGATTACACACCTCTGGAGCTTCCTGGGCCTCCTGGTCCAGGGGTAGGGGCACTATCACTGTCCATCAAGAATCTGTTAAATTGCATTTTATGTTCTTCTATGGAATATCCATCCTGATTTTTAAATTTATCGAACCCTGACCAGTCTCATATGCATTTAGTATCATCTTTTAGTATATTTTGTCCATAAAATGAAATAGATTTTCCAAACCTTTCTCTGCCCAAATCTTGAGCTGCATCTGTGAATAATATAAATCATGATTTTGTTTCTGTGTGAAGATCATGTCTTGTTTCTTTTTTAGGCAAGGATGTAATCTGTGTCTATATATTCACTTAATTTTTCCATTGGACATAAGGCTCAACTTCACAGAACATCAATGGGAAATCATACCTCAACACTTTACACTTGGTTCCAACTACTCTTCACCAAAATAATCAAAAGTTCAACTTTCTGTTTGAAAAAAGTCATAATTTCCAATCTTCTCCTTTAAGCAACCATTCTTTGTGACCAATGACAATCTGGATCCATCCTATTGGGGAGACAGAAAGCCGAAACACTTTCCCTCGTGGATAAAGCTTGTTGGCAACCCAGTCTTGTTGATCCTTCCTAGGAACCCTCCCCCCACCATTCCCATCCTACCCCCACACAATGTGGTACAGGTGTTGCCTACATAAATGTGATCAGTCAATTAATAGCCACTTTCGGATTCTTCTTAAGCTAAAATAAGGCCATTGTAAGGTTTGTTAATGTGATTGTCCTCACTTTAACTCTGTCTTTATCCTGAACTTGAGAATACGGCTCAAGATTCTCAAGATGTCATTATGCTGCTATTACAGCTGAATGGTGACAACTCCTCAGCCCTGTCTCATGGTGCAACTTTGCCATTCAGTAGCTCTTCATTGTCAAATCGTCTCTTCAAAAGAAGGTATTGTGAAAGAAATAAAACAACGATGTCCAGTCAAGGGGAAATGATACCTTTTAATGAGCGCTCACTAGTCTTCATCCTAATGCAACAGGCCAGCCAGTCCTTTCAGTAATATTAGCTTTGAGTTACTATTACTAATCGTATGCTTTTTGTTTCAGCTTCTGAATGTATGGTTCAAGGCCACCCTTGAGGACTTTGCCTTCCTATGACATTCTAAATGACCAGATACGGGAGAATTATGAGAATCTGTGAACAGCTGATTTTGGGGCTGATCATCGGGTGGGAAAATTATTCAGGAATGCCTATAGTTTAATGTTTCAGCCAATAATGTTAAGGATACTTTTAACTAATAATGTTAGAAACTTAGACAGTACTTGGGGAATGTTCTAGAGGTGGGGTTTCATGAATATGCTGATGAGCTTCTGAAGTAAACTTCAATTTAACTGTGGCTATAGTAGTCATGAAGTAGTACTTGCACGAAGGTTGGAAAACAGCTCTACAGGCTTGCACATCATGTACTGTTTGCTAATCAGCATTGTTTAAAAATAACCTGGAAGTCTATCTTGAGTTTATACAAAGATCCAAAGAACCATGCTAGAATGCGCAAGTCATTGAAACTGATTATCTGATCGTTTATCTCAGTACTGTTTGCAAGATATTGTTGTTGCAAATTGGCTACCAGGTTCCTACACTTCAAAAGTACTTGCTTGTGTAGCAGTTTGGAATGTCCTGAAGGTTCTGTCTTTCCCTATCATTCTCATCATGATGTTAGCAGTGTGGTGGAGTCCCAGACAATAGTTTTCAGGCAGGAAAAGTAACATTCTTTGTCATCTGCAACATGTAACTGCTGAATGTGTATATGTACCTAAACGACCACGAAGCAGAAGTGGCCCATACCTCTAAGCTCCATTCTCAAAACTTCGCAAATATGTTTGGTTCTCCAAAATTGTTTTATATACCCCATACAGGGGATCAGGAATAATGTACACTTACTACTTGTGATCCATTTTCAAAATACAAATGTTTTATTTGATGCTAGGCATTGCCAAAAATATGGATTACAATGGCTGTCCATTGTATATGATGATTTACAAATGACTGGCTATTGAATGAATATTACTTCATGTAAACCTTGCCCATCTATCGGTTGTTCTGACTTAGAAATTTATGATTATTGTACTACTTTCAATAGTGAGCCATGTCTTATTTTATTCTATTCAGATGGGACACATTAGAATTAAATTTAGCTCTGTACTTAAACGGATGATTTACAACCAACTGAGGAAATATTTTGCGGTAATTCCTTGACACCTGTTTGTGCAATTATGATTTTTTCATTTTTAGAATTGGGATAAAGATTTGGAAGAAATAGCTGTTGAATATGCACAGAAATGTATCTGGGGACACAATAAAGATCGAGGAAGAACTGGGGAAAATTTATATGCAGTTACTGGCCTACTCAATCTGCAAGAAGCAGTGGAGAAATGGCATTTAGAAGTTGAATTTTATACATATGAGACTATGGAGTGCGCTCCAAAAAAGCTGTGTGGTCACTACACACAGGTAAGAAATTTTACTTTTAATTAGCTTAATTATTTGTTCTCCTTCATTGGTTTGCTATAAGAGCTGACTTATCATTTTCTGTTGTAATTAAGCAGCTCCCCAAAATTGTTAGTGACAAATGTGGCTTTATCTGAGGGTTGGGCAACTGATTTAGCTGGCTGACAACTTTGCGATGCATAGTGATGTAAACAGAGCCTGTTCAATCCCTGAACTGGATGAGGTTACCATGTAGGCCCCACCTTCGTAATCTCATCTCTCACCTGAGGCATGATGACCCTCGTGTTTTAATTCACCACTCATCATCTCTGTCTAATAGGCATGCAGGTGGTGGCGACATTCACTTTCTATCTAATCCATGAAATTGATCTTTATTTTTATTATGACGAGCTACTTGATAGTGTGGCTTGTCTGTGATGAGATCTACTAGCAAATCCAGGGTTAATTATTGTAGCTGTACTCGCATATTTGAGTTGGTTTTAGAAGACATGTTTAAAGTTTATTGTTAGTAACTGCATTTGGCACCTAGAAGCTTCTCAAGTTGATAGAATCACAGAAGTGTTACAATGCAGAAAGAGGCTATTGAGCACATCATATCTGTGCTGGATCTCTGAACATTTTAACTTAGTGTTGATCTCCTGCCTTTTCCTCATAACCCTGTGTATCATGTGCATTAGAATAATCATTCAATGTCCTCTGACTGCCTCAGTTAAATCTGCCTCCATTGCAATTCCAAGCACTGTATTCCATTCCTTAAGTACTGGTATTGTTAGAGTATTTATTTCTCTTCTCGCATTTGCTTCTTGGTTCTCAGTCTGTTTATGAGTGGTACTAGTTATTCTGTAATCACTGTTTCCTGTCTTACAGTCTCAAGTTCTCCAGTCTTTCCTCATAACTGAAGTATCTCATCCCTGGGACCATTCTCATGAACCTGTTCTGTATTCTGTCCAGTCCATTCACATCATTCCCACAGTATGGTCTTCCAGATCTACACATAATACCCCAGATAAAGTCTAACCAGTGTCTTACATAACTTCTGCATAACCTTCTCGCTCTTGTACTCTATGCCTCAATTTATAAAGCCTTAAATGCTGTATGTTTTCTTAACAGCTCTCTCTACTTGTCCTGCCACCTTTTAATGACTTATGTACAGGTACACTTAGGTCCGTCTGCTCCTGCACACCTTTTAGAAAAGTACCCTTTGTTTTTCATTATTCTTCCATATTCTTTATACCAGAGTGCATCACCTTATACCTGTCCGCATTTAACTTGATCTTTCACACATCCTCCTACTCCACCAATGTGTCAATGATCGAAGAAGTTCTACACTATCCTCTTCTCAGTTTGCAATTCTCCCAATTTTTTTTTTAAATTGACCCCTCTATACCAGGGTCTAAATCATTCATTTGAATATAAGAAGGGTCTAAGCCCAAAACGTCAGCTTTCCTGCTCCTCTGATGCTGCTTGGCCTGCTGTGTTCATCCAGCTCTACACCTTGTTATTTCAGATTCTCCAGCATCTGCAGTTCCTACTATCTCTCTCTAACAAATCCATGGCTGTTATAAATAAATCCACACTTTTACATGCGATTATTAAATCTACCCCGAATAATTGTTTCTCATTAGTTCAATTTTTCATATTTTGATTTCTTTTAAATCTGTGATTACATGATGTTTACAGCTTGTTTGGGCAGATAGTGATAAAGAGGGCTGCGATAGTCACATTTGTGAAGAACTCCAAGGCCTGGATTATAAAAACGTGTCTCTTCTGGTCTGCAACTATTTAACTCCGTAAGTATAAATTTCTATACAAAACCATTTTTAGTTCTTCCAAGTTAAAGTTGACATAGGAATGTTATTTTTTGTACTAAACACTGCTTACTGACAGTTACATTCAACAAAGTAAACTAATGCTATGACACTATAGTATTTTCTATTTCAGTACTATAAATTATTTTGGTCTTTTGTGATGCCACTTTTAAATAGTTGTACAGCCCTGATGTAGTAAAAGTCAAGTTATTTTTCTTTGATATTTGTCTGTGGAACATTTTTATGAGAATTTATGAGCCAGCTTAAACTTGTTATTTACATTTCTATTTCTAGAGGCAATGTAATTGGACAATACCCATATAAGGAAGGAATACCTTGCAGTGAATGTCCGGATGGAACCAAGTGCGTTGATAAACTTTGTAGTGAGTATCTAGTTATATAATAGGAATAAGGGCCTTGGAATAGGAATAGACCGCTCAACTTTCCAAACCTGCTCTCCCTTTGATAAGATGATGTCTGGTGTGGTTGTGGTTTCACTTCCACTTTACTGTCTGTTCCCCATAACTTTTACTTCATTGTACGTCGAAAATCTATCTCGGCCTTGAATATATACAGTGTCCCAGTCTCCTCTGTTTTCTGGGAGATAGAATTTCACATACGAACAACCCTCTGAGAAAGAGAGAATCTCCTCACATCTATCTTAAACAAGAGACCTCTTATTCTTACTTCTGAAGAAGGGTCCCGACCTGAAAAGTCAACTCTCCCGCTCCCCTGCTGCTGCCTGGCCTGCTGTGTTCCTCCAGCTCCACACTTTGTTACCTCTTATTCTTAGCCGGTGTTCCCTAGTTCTGGTCTCCCACATAAAAGGAAACATCACCCTGCTATCCATCCTATCAAGCGCCCTCATGATTTTATATGTTTTGATAAGATCACCTCTCATTCTTTAAACTCCAGTGGGTATAGGCCCAACCTGTTCAACCTATCTTCATTAAATAAACCCTTCATCCAGGAATGAGCCAAATGAACCCTCTCTGAATTACTTCTAATTGGATTACATTCTTCTTCAGGTAGGGAGACCAACTGTACACAAATCTCCAGATGTGATCTCATTAAGGCACTGTACATTTGGAGGAAAAGTTTCTTACTTTTATTTTTCATTCAACTTCACTAAACCACAACATTTCATTTGCCTTCCTAATCAATTGCTGTGCCTGCATACTAATTTCTTTGTGATTCTCATAGACTCATCGATGTTAACAGAAGACCATTCAGCCCATCGTGTCTACACCAGCCAACAAACATCTGACTAAACTAATCCTATTTTCCAGCTTCAGACCCGTGGCTCTGAAGGCTATGGCAATGCAAGTGAATATCTTGGATACTGTTTAAATGTAATGAGTTTTTAATTCATCCACTCTTTTAGGCAGTCAGTTCCAGACTCCCATCATGCTACAAGGGTAGTCCCCTGAACCTAACAGGAAATACCTGACCTTCCTCAGCTCCAGCCTTGCTTCCATCAATTTCTCCAGCCTCCAACCAGCATTTGCTTGGCAACCCTCATTCATATTATATGCTCCACTCCTTTGGGCCCTACTAGGGTATAACTCCTGTCCTAATTTGCTATACTGCCAACCAGTCCTGATGTCATTCTATTAAGACTGATTTGAAAATGTAAATGAGCCCTGTTTATTGAAAATGGACAGACGTTTTCCGTTCATGAGTTTTAGATGTGTCACACCCCTGAGGACCTGAGGGATTGATCCTGGTAAAAATTAAAATTAATTCCTCTATTATCATTTATAATACTTCCATTTTTCTCAACAGTCAACATGCTATGCATTGGATGAATTAATTAACATGGTTTCATCAAAACATTTCTCAAACTGGCAATCCCTACCAAAAGGCACCTGGGAACACAATTACCTTCAAGTTTCCCTCTGGTTATACAGCAGCCAGACTTTCAACTATATTGTCATTGCTCATTGTCACTAGGTTAAAATTCTGGAACTTTATGGGAATACCTTCACCACAGGCTACAATAGTTTAAGACAATTCATCACTACCTCCACAAGGGCAATTAGGGATGGTCAATGAATGCCTTACTAGAGACACCTATATTCTACAAATGAATTAAACAATATAATGTGCTAGAGAAACTCAGCCGTTCTTTGAGCATCTGTGGAGAGAGAAACCGGAAATGTGAGACAACCTGCCAGCTTCAAACAGATTTCATTGTTTGTACATCAGTTTGGATGGACATCCCAAGTTTCCAAGAGAAGATGGATAGAGTTAGGGTCTTCTTGAATTGCTGCAAATATGGTGGTGATGGTATATGTTTTTGGACATGAACCTTGAGTTGATGCTGTTTTGATGGCATTGCTGCTCTGTCATTGTCGGTGGCTGCGAAGGTGAGAGGCACCATTGAAGAAACTCTGGAAAATTGCAATGCACATTGTAGATAATATATACTCCAGCTGCAGTGCCTTTGGGCAGGAGCAAGTAGGTGTTGAATACAGTGGCAGGCAAACTAATAAAGTGAGATTTAAGTCTTGGATAGTGGCACATTTCTTGAATGTTGCAGTTACACAGTTCATTTCTTACCAAATCTTGTATTAAAATAGTAGACAAACTTTAAGGGACAAGAGGAAATCCAAAATCCCTGAACTGAGCTCTGCTTTTTTGTCACATTGTTAAATATAGTTAGTACAGTTCACGTTCTGTTAAATAGTTACACCAAGATGTTGAGTCATAGAGTTGATGGGTGACTTGGTGATGGTGATAGTTGCAATTCAAAGGACAATGGCTGGCTTCTCTATTCGAGATGGTCATTACTATGAAAAACCCCATGTTTTGCAAATTTTATCTGTGACTTGGCCATTGAATCCTTGATATCATCCAAAGGCTGCCATGTATGTCTCATAGTTGGATGAATTGTAAATAGAATGAAACACTGTGAATCATTAGGAGGTAGACTAATTCTATGCACCAAATACTTACCAATGTCTCTAATGAAACATTTGAAGTTGGGCTGAACTCATTTTCCTGAGGAATTCATTCACTGATGTGTCAGAACCATGAATATCTGTCTCTGGAAACCAAAATCAATTTTTGTTTTGCCAAGCAAGGCTCTAATCATTGGAAGACTTTCTCTTTGATCACCATTGATTTCACATTTGCTAGGGCTCTTTCATATAATACTTGGTCAAATGTCTTAAACAAGAGACCTTGATGAGAAGTGCAGAACTCATACCTGTCCCAACTTTCAGTTCTTTTCTGGTGCTAATTGTGGGTCAAATATTCCTCTTTAGAGGGAATAAACTTTACAAGTAAAAGCTCTAATAAATGCAGCAAAAGACGCAAAAGACATAAAAGACAATCGGATCCAGCTTTCCATGTTTTTGGAAATGTGATTTTAAAAAAAATTCTTGAAACTTTAGTTTCAGCATTAAAAATATTTATTCTTCTTAACAAATGATTTTAGATCAACTTAGAAATTGTTTTGAAAATTTATTTTACAGCATCTATACTAGAACCAGAACTAGAACCAGAACCAGAACCAGAGGCAAAGCCACAGCCAATCACAGAGTCAGAGACAAAATTGGAGCCAATCACAGAATCAGAGATGAAACTGCAAACAATCACAGAGTCAGAGGCAAAACTAGAGCCAACCCTGGGGTTAGAGACTAAATTGGAACCAAAAGTAAAGCAAGGGACTACTCTGGAGCCACATGTAGAAGCAAAGACCATACCAGAACTAAAGAATGACCCAGAAATGAAATGGACAGTGATACTACAAGACCCAAATTTGCAGCCTGATTCAAAATGTAAGAAATTGTCCTTGATCTGTTGATGATGTCATCTTTACAAGCTCCTTCTCATCCATTTGCTTTCTCGCAGATTCAAAGTCATGCTGTCTGGTGAGGAGTCCTGTTTCCTCCTGCAAATTTCTTGCGTTTATTCTGAATAAATATGAAATCCCTCTTTTTTACTTGACTGCGAGTCAAAACAGCCAAACTGAAATTTAACCTGTTATTTAATAATTAAATTTTTCATTTTTAAAATTATTTTCGCCAGTAATACCTCATTGTAAAGTTTAGGTTTTAAATAAAAAAAGTAAGAAGTTTTTGAAATGAATTATTTGGAGAAATGAAAATAGCATAAATAAAAATTGAGTAGCCAGAGTCTGAGTTTGAATACCTATTGCTGTCAAAGTGTTCATTTGAAGGTGAGTTCTTTTTAACATATAGTAAGATTCTTTTATTAATTTCGTACACTCATCTCCTTGGTCTGTATTTTTTCAATACCAGTCATTTTATCGTTTTAGTTTTATGCTTCTTTTTTGTTCCTTTTCTCTGTATGATCATTTTTCTCTCCCCTATTTTTCTCTCTCCCTCTCACATGTTCTATCTCCCCTCATTATTCTAGAATTCCCAATAAGAGTTAAATATTTATGGGAAAAGGAATCAATTGTCTAATTCTATTACAAGTTTGACTATAACTGTGTGATTTTATTTCAGCCTTTGTTATATAAGGAACTTGCCATTCTCATCCTATCTTTCACCAGTTATTCAGTAATGAGGAAGTGTCATCAATGGTAGAAATTTGCCACTCTGTTAAAGTGTTACTCTGACCCCCAAAAATTTACAATTCTGTGTAAATTAAGAGTCAGTGAGTGGAACAATGAACTTTTGTGGTGAATAAAATGGGCAATAGCAAATTGGTCACCAATTGTACTTGTATACAATTTTCCTTTCCCTGACTTTAGTACCAGGGAATATCAGTAAGGCCTCCAATCTCCTGCCGCCTGTTTTGTGTCCACGCAGATGCTAAAAGATCAATTTTAAACAATCTTTTAAAGACAAATTATGATCTTCAACGCACTAACTACAGATATGCAAGTCCCACATAGTCAATTACATTTGCCTCGTCATGAATCCCTGATATGCACTTATACCTTAAAACTCTGAGGTTGTGGCAGTGAAGATTAAAATTGCTGGCAGCTTCATGAAATCATCTTGGGCCTGCTCTCTGGAAGTCACTCCCCAAGACCTGTACATGTCTACTGGCCATCCTTGCCTCACATCTTGTTCCTTTAAAACTCTGACATTTCATTGCCTTGATTCAGTTGGAGGTTATTACATTTTATTGTTATTCCCATCAAGTCTCTGCATTTTTTGCTTTTTGTGTGATTTTCAGCAGCAAGACTAGAGATAAATTGGAGCCATTCTGCCAGCTTCTGAATCCAAATGGATTTTTTTACAAAAATTGTTCATGGGTTGTATGACAGTGGCAAGAGACTCATTTATTGCCAATCCTTGGTTGCCCTTCAGAAGGCAGCATTGAGCCTTTTTGTTAAATCACTACATTCCATGTGGGGAAATTGGTTCCGAAATGCTGTTGAGTGAGGAGCTGCAGGATATAAGGGTCTCAGATTATTTCTTCATGTTAACGGCACAAAATAAATGAAATTTATTGCTCAGCTACAGAAAATCTGTGGTTCCCTTGCCCTTTTTCTCTTTTCCTGTTCTTATTTTTTTTTTGCTTTTCATGCTGTCCAGTCTACAGATTTCTCTTCTCTGTCAGAGCCTCTACAATCCTGTTCTTAATGGCTTTTTGCACCTAGCATTCTGGTTGGAAGCACTGACAAAATGAACCGACTAAAACAAAGCAGTGCAGATGGTATTTAACTGTAAAACCAAAATTATGTAGTCACTACATTAAAAATTTTAATGGAGTGAATCATGAACCTTGTTACTTAACAATCAAACAATCTAGCGATTTTTGTTTTTTTTAATTCTTTACAAGAGTTTTCTGGATTTTGCGCTTTGAAAGTTGTTGATTTTCAATGTACTGCCTGTTCTGAGCGATACAAAGTCCAGATAATCTGACTGAAAATGACAAAACAAATTCAATTTATGAAGGAATGCCAAAATCAACCCACTTAGCAAAAGACAAGCAGTGCACTATTAAGTAGAGTGCTTCCTGTCATTGATAAATAAGGGAGTGTCAGTTTATCCAACAAAATATTATACATTTCTATTAAAGGAAAATTGTACAAGTTATGCTAAATATTTTTCACTGGTAAATGAATTATTATATTGTTTTAAAGCTTGAAATATGAACTTACATTTTGAATTTTATTTTTCAACAGGTAATCAAGTAAACAATGGGAATTTGGCACTCTCCTCTTGTATTCTGACACTCATCATGTTATTGGTTTTGTATTTTGCACAAATCTAGTGGCAACAATCTTGTATCCAGTAAGATTTCCTGAGGTTCCCCTAATGGAACATCATCCTATAGAAGTTTGCACTGGTAAACATGCTGATTCTAAATATACTAGTTACTAAACAAAAAAAAAATTAAATTTCTTTTCAAATTGTCTGATTCCTAATATGTTTTAGCTTGATCAGTTTCATTACTGGACCTTTAAAAAATTACTTGAAATAGTTTTAGGTTGTAATTTGATGCTCATGTTAATCTTACCATTGCTATTCAGATAGCAAACTTGTTAACTTGTAATATGAGACCAAGTTTAAGAACAACAGCTGAGATGAGCTTTAAATCCAATGGAAGACCAGAAGATATCATGAAACCACATTTTTGTTTTCTCTGCTGCTTCTTGTTCTTCACCTAAAAAGCTTTTATAAGAACAGATCTATTTCTCATTAAAGCCCTTAACAGCCTTAGTAATAATGGGAACCTAGGTAACATCAGAGACTAAGCATCCATTTCATCAATTACCATCATGAATTTAATTTACAGTTGTCTTAATTAGGGCTGATACTTCAGTTAGCTGAGCAGTGCTCAGTTGAAGGTTTCTTTAATCAATGAGCAGCATATGGCTCAATATTTCCATGTGTTGCTTTGCTGTATATTTCACTCTTCCTTGAGCAAAACCATCACTACCAGTTTATAGTTGTTTAAGTAAATTATTAAAGCAGCAACAACAAATTACTTATATAGTAGTGTCTTTAACATGCAGTGTTAAAATGCCTTTCAGTCTTTCCTTCGCCATGCCAAATCCTTCTCCAATCTTACACCATTTTCAATGTAGTGCATGGACTTTGCAGGCTACATATTTCAAGCTTTTATTTCAAAAGAAAGACTTGCCACACTTGCTTCTTCCTGGGTTGTATTCATGAACAAACGGTATTTTGCTGAGTTAGGTGACAATTGCTACATTTTTAACAGCTTTGGATAGTAACATTTGAAATTGTGACTTGGTTAACTGTATCCTTGGTGCATACCCTCACAAAGCTTACCTGAAGTCATTGACAGGTAGGCATACAAAGGTCTGTAGATATGGCATGTGGCATGCCCATATCCATTACGTCTTTCATTTCATCCAGTGCTACTTCAGCCATGAAATATTGCATTTTAGGGCAAATTCCAATTAATAGTTTAAAATTATTGTGTACTGCACTTTGTTTTCAAGACAACAGCGTTGGTAAATGCCCCAAAAAATTAAAATAAAAACTGTTTGATACCATAGATATCAAATTGCAACACTAAATTGAAATACAGGACAACAAGGTGCAGGGCTGGATGAACACAGCAGGCCAAGCAGCATC